CAGATTCAGTATTTTGCTCACCGGTTTGCTGTGGATGTGAACCCTTTCTAATGGTTGCTTTGTGTAAAGTTGTCTCATCTCAGCTATTTGGGCTCAAGTTCTGTCATCTCAGTTAAAAGACTCTGTGTGAAAATGAGAAAAGTACCAAGAATTGTGCCAACAAATTATATGACCACTTTCATATTGTGATTATATGAATTAAAATTTTATGCATGAGTTTTGGGTTTGCCTACTGCTTGTTTGAACTATTTCTATTCTCCTAATAAGATTTAGTATAGTATGCTAAATATTCAGCCAAATTTAAAGGGGGAAAACCTCTTTGTCAGGTCATTTGCCTTGTGGGGTGTCCATTCCTCAAGGAAGGTAATCAAAAAATATTGAATGCAGTTCCAGTTTTGTAATATTATTGAGAAAAGTGCTGCTGGGAAAATAAGCAGTATTACAACTTCCTGCGTAGAAATTATGCCATCTGTAGATTTCAAATTGTGCATTTACAGACATTGCTAATGTAAGTTGTATAACAGAGAATCAGAGAGAGGATCCTAAGGAAGGATCTTAAGGATTTATTTTATCTCTTGATTCTTTCTGGGAAAAATCATGCTAGAAGATAATTAATTTTATTTTTTAAAGTCTACTGAGATAAATAATCCAGCTCTTTTCATTTACACTAGAGGTTCATTTGCTCTTAGATGGTGAAGTAAATGAACGAAAGGTCTCTGTCCTTTTTAACATTCTTTATATGTGCTAAGAACCTATTATTAAATTATTGAAGTATTTCCCCATAATTTTCTCTTCCCTATGCAGTTGCTGCAATGGTTTATTTTCATCACTTCAGTTTTTTATTTTCATCTGCTTGTCTTTTTGATAACTACTAAACATGATAAGCTCTGAGCAGGGTTCCCATCCAAAAGGAAAACTTACTTCAGAGGTTTAAACTTAAGTGTGATGTGAAATGGAGAGGGTGCTAATCAGGGGAGAGGAGGAGGAAGGGAGGAGTAGAAAGAAAGCAGGAGTTTCCCCTGGAACTCTGGGATCTAAGAATGCCTTTAGTCTAGATACACTGCTTTTCTTGTAGTTTACTTCAGAGGTTTAAACTTAAGTGTGATGTGAAATGGAGAGGGTGCTAATCAGGGGAGAGGAGGAGGAAGGGAGGAGTAGAAAGAAAGCAGGAGTTTCCCCTGGGAACTCTGGGATCTAAAAATGCGTTTAGTCTAGATACACTGCTTCTCTTGTAGTTTAACTTGATAATTCTTGGCATAAGGAAAAGGGCAATATGGTTCAGAATTTATGGGCAGTGAAAGGAAGACCCAATGGCCACTGGAGCATGTGCCGGCAATGCCAAGAGTGAATTGCAGCATTTTCTAAAATCTCAATGGCACACCTATGGTTCAGTGCCTCGTTACTAAGTGTCTGCTAGTTCTGTGCTTCTGTAACAAATACCTCAGACTGGGTCATTTATAATAATCAGAAATTTATTGGCTAATAATTCTGGAGGCTAAAAAGTACATGATCATGGGTTTGGCACCTGGCTTCATTCAAACTTTGCGTTGACCAAATAATCAGAAATTTATTGGCTAATAATTCTGGAGGCTAAAAAGTACATGATCATGGGTTTGGCACCTGGCAAGTGCTTCATTCAAACTTTGTGTTGACCAAGGGTAATGATGTCTTCATGACTTAGGATCATCTTCAGCAAATTGAAGGAGCTTTGTGGACTCCTTACTATCTGGGTCAATGGCAGGAACACCAAGGCCTAGTTCAGTGGCCTTTGAAACACTATTTTCTCTCTCTCTCCTCTCTCTCTCTTTTTAATAAGCTTTCCTCTTTCTCTACTGTCCCTTATTCACCCTTTCCTACCTACCAGTTACCACTGACTAATCTTCAATTTTTATCTTAACATGTTCCCTGCAATTATTTTGTATCGGCCTTTACAGAGGTGTGACACTTATGTCAGTTTTATACAGAAATACTCAATATCAAATTGTATTTTCTCAGTTAGCCAACTTCAAGTCCCCATGGGGTCACTAGAAATTAAACTGTGATAGAAATTAAACTGTTATTTCCATAGTTCTTATGGTTTTCATTCGATCATATTATTGTATAACTCAGACAAGCCTTTTTTGTCCTAAAGACATATCTGTGCTTTTGTGAAGAAAACTTGGAGATGAGCCACTAAATTTCTCACATTTCCTAAATGCATTTTTAAAAATGGGATATTAAAGTTTTTAAGATATTCAGGAGTTATGGAAAAAAAACTCTGCATGCTCTGCTCACTACTGATTCTTAATGATATTTTTCCTTTAGTGTGAGGTAGGTCAGGCCTAAAAAGAATAATGTCTTAAACTGTGGCCAGTAATATTCTTCTAGTTGTGGTTTAATATGCCTAAATTTAGGCCAAAAGGTGGGAAAGTGATTAAGGTACCAGATTCCCACGTGGCCAGCTATGGTTCAGACCCAGCAGCTTGAAACTTACACTGGGTGCATTTGTGTGTGTGCCCAAGATCCCAAGAAGAAAATGGAAGAGAAAGGATTGTGGTGTGGGCATCTCCCATGACGGGTAATTTCTCACTCTCTCTCTCTCTGTGTCTCTGGTGAGTGCACATGCCATGTAGCAGAAATCTCTGTTAAAAAAAAAATGCCTCTCCCTTATGATGAGGAATTTTGAGCATTTTTTCATGTGCTTTTTGGCTGTTTGTATGTCTTCCTTAGAGAGTTTTTTAATCACCTAATTTTCTCATCTTTTAATTGAGTTAATTATTTTTTTCTAGGTAAGACAGTTGAGTTCCCTGTGTATTATGTTTATCAGTCCCTTACCTGGGGTGTAGTTTACAAAAATACTCTCCCATTCTGAGGGTTGTTGATTCACACTAATTACTGTGTGTTTTGCTAGGCAGAAACGTCTTAATCTGATGTAATCCCACATGCTTATTTTTGAGATTATTGCCTGTCAATTGGGATTCTTATTTGAGAAGTCTTTGCCTACCCCAATGTCTCCCAGAGTTTCCCCAGTGTTTTCCAGGAGCAGTTTTATACTTTGAGGTCATAGGTTTAGATACCACCTAACCATAGTCAGAATACCGAAGATTTAAAAATACAAAAAAATGATAATTGCTGAAAGGGAAGTGGTGGAAGGGGAACTCTCCTATACTGTTGGTGAAAATGTAAATTGATCAAGCCACTATGGAAAACAATATGGAGGTTCCTCAAAGACCAACAAATAGAACTACCCTGTGATCCAACAATTCCACTCCTGGATATCTACTCAAAGGACAGGAGAATGCTTAGTTGGAAAAGTGCTCATATGTCTGTTTTTATTGCAGCATTATTCATGACTGCTAAGACATAGAACCAATCCAAATGTCCACAAACAGATGAATGGATTGAAAACATGTGACTCATATACTTTAAGGAATACTATTCAGCCGTAAAAATCAACAAGACCCTGGCATTTGATAGAAAGTGGACATATAGGGAAGATTTACTGTTGAGTGAAGTGAGTCAGGCTATGAAAGAGAGGCATTGTATGTCTCCATTTAACATATACTGACTATCTGCACTCTATGGTAGAGACTGAAAGATTGGAGGACATAAAAGCATTGATAATAGCTATGGACACTGAAGACAGCATAGAAGGAGGGTAGGAGAAGGAATGAATATAGGGAAGGAAATTAGGGAGAAAAAAATAGTGAGATAAAACATTGGTGGAGCACAGAAATGGTTTATTACCTGATAATGATAACGTGTATAGTATCCTCAACTGGACTGGTCTGAGGTATATTTCATGTTGGGTAAATTCTCTTTGCAAGTTAAATGTTGTACAGCAATTGAATGCATAGTAATAATAAAATGCCTAAATTCAATGAAAATTAATTTGAACTTTTTTCACATATGTTTTAAATATTTTTTAACCAATTAAAACACTAACTTAAAAAGAGCTACATATATGTTGAAGAAATGTCATGGCATGTGTTAATTATATGGCATTCTATTTCTGATGTCATTGTATTATAAAGAGCCAATGCAAAAACCACCATGAGAAACATTCAAAACAGGTAACATAATGGTAGGACCCTTTTGTAATGTTGCAGCTTTTCTAGGGCAATCACTGCTCATAGATCTTGACATGATCCCATGTATGTAGCCTGATTAATTTTTGTGATAATCATGTTTCACTGCAGTTTTTCAACAGCCATGACATGGCTTGTTGTATGTCTGCATCTATTTAAACATTAGCCATGTCACAGGGTTTCTTTGTACACAATGCTGATGCTTAAAAAAACAAAACAAAACAAGTATGTAGCCTGATTAATTTTTGTGATAATCATGTTTCACTGCAGTTTTTCAACAGCCATGACATGGCTTGTTGTATGTCTGCATCTATTTAAACATTAGCCATGTCACAGGGTTTCTTTGTACACAATGCTGATGCTTAAAAAAACAAAACAAAACAAAACAAAACAAAGAACAAAAAAGGCTTTATAAAAAAGTCTATGGCTGAGGTAAACAAAAGAGATTGCAGCCTGGAGTCTGGATTCGTGCATCAAAAATGAAGTGTTTAAGTAGATTTTTGTCAACTAGCAAATGCCATTTCAGTCTGAGCATTTCACCACCTCATTCTATGCCATCTGTCTCACAGGGAGCAATTAATCTGAAACTCCAACATGCAGCATTAAAATTCCATTAACACTGAACAGAATATTAACGTGTGCGGCAGTGCCATTTTTCTCTCTCCCAATTTCAGTGTTATTTTTGAATAAAGCAGGTATAGCATTTTAATCTGTTTGGTTAATTAAGAATATTGAATAAAGTATATAATTAGCAGCTAAAATGATGTAATAATAGGTGGCACTTACTTAATACTAATGCTATGTTTTGGCAACTTAAAATATATATGGGTTACAGACTCATATGAGGCTAATGATGATTTGAAAGGCACTAAGTATTTTACAAAGTCAATTTTCTCAAGATTCTGATTTGGTCATTCTTTTTTCTCTCTGCAGAACCACATCACCGCCTTTGCAGAAGTCACATGATATTGAAGCAGATGGTTTTTCACTGCATTGGACATCATCCCTTTTTACCATCCATTCATAACACCCAAAGTTTGTTTGATTACAAAAGAAGTTTATAAACTTGTCTAGTAATTTTTATAATTTTAAAATCAATGTCAACCTATCTGTCCCCCCCTCCCCCAGACTGTGAGCTCCTCAAGGGCAGGACTGTGTCTTTCTCCTCTGTATTCCCAGCACCTACAAGGAAATCTAGCACAAAGTAGGTGTTCAATAAAAATGTGGTGACTGAACAAATTACTTCTTACATAAGATGTTCCCTTTAGTTTCTCACAGAATGACTGAGACAATGTAGAAAGAACCCTCTATGAGAGTCATATTTGTATTTTTAAAAAATCTTTATTTTGGGCTAGTTAAGCTTTTAAATTTTTCATATATCTATTCAACAGTATGCCATATTTAATTTGAAGTGGACTTTGAAAGTCATGGGGGTTTTGATTTTAGTATTCAGCATGACATTATCCATTCTAACAGATTTCAGTGTGTGAAATTATTTTACTTTTAGAAAGTATGTTCTATACTAAAATAATGTTTGCACATTATATTGTAGTCTATTTCACTTAAAATACCACTCATACTATACATTCTAAGACTGGTGCTTCTGCTTTTGAAGGGGAAAAATGCCAATTTTTACTGTAATAAGTAATGTATCATAATTAAAAATTATTTATTTGGACTTTTTCTCCTGACAATTGTGGTTTAATTGTTGACTTGTAGTATGTGAATGCAGGAAGTATTTAGGATATTTTAAGTGACTCAATCCAGTAATGGTACCTTCTTATTAAGTAATTTTCCATTGGTAACAGTGTCTCAAGAGTGGTCAAAGGCTCCATTCTTAGACTTTTTTTATTAGTCATGATTCCATATAATTAAATGGGAAAGAACTATATCCCAACACATAACTGAATTATATAAATGTTAGAAATACGGTTATCAGAGTTGATTTTGCATTTGTATGATACTTCATAGTTAAAACACATACTAAACTTTTATTATTTCATTTAACTTTTATGATAGCTCCCATTTAAATGTTGAATGTGATTTTAAGTAAAGCCAAGACAGGGTAAATAACATGCCCATCCTACATAACTAGTAAGAGGCAGAGGTAAAACTTAAATTCAGATTTTTTGAATCCCAACTTGCATTCCTTTCAAATATGTCCCAAATGTCTTATCATTTTGGACACTAATCAAGCAATTACCCATTTTAAAAAATGAAAAAGCAAACTAGAATTACAGAAGCCCTGCTGTTTTTCAAGTGTTCATGTTTTAAAAACAGACACTCAGCTATCCAACTCTATATTAACCTATTTATAATGCTTTTTTCCCCAGTTGCTAGAGGGCATATGCACTCACCAGAGAGAGAGAGAAAGCACCCTTACCCAGTGGGAGCATTCACATCACAATCCCCCATCGCTCCCTCCTGTTAGGATTTGGGGCATGAAAGCACACATATCCAGCATGTTTCTAAAGCTGCTGGATTTGGGATTTGAACCACAGTCTGCTGTTGTGGATCCTGCTCCCTATTTATCGAGCTTTACCTGCTGCACCATGAAGCCAGTCCACCTATCTATAATGTTTTAAAATGATGTATGTTAAGACTCTAGATATATAGCCCTTTATAAAAGCAAAGCCAGAATCAAATATCTTTCTTATCATTTGTACCCGCCACCTCAAGCCCCGACACAGGAGATGGCCCAAAGAACAGACCTTAAATTAAGAATGTGGAATTAAGGATGAACAGCTTGTAGATATGAGGAAGGTGAGCTCCTCAACAATAATTTTGAAGTATTTAAAGCTCCACCAAGTACCTTTGGCTTACCTGAATAGAAGTTTGTTGATTAAAATAAATCTCTTTGGCCTTGACAGTACTGAAGAAAATAAACTCCTTTCTCCATAAGTTCAGTTGAAATTAGCAGATAAATATAACCAAAGACTTGCCCATTACTTCCAAAAGCGATGTTACTTCTCCATTTCCTTCACTGTGGGAACTGAAATACTTCTAGGCCCCAAAACTATTCATGTTTCTTCCAATTTCAGACCTTTATAATAATTCAATTCCATTGGAAATTTAGGACATGAAAAAGCTTTGAATGCCTTGACCCTCTTTAAAGACGTTTTTAGGCAATACAGCAATGGGGAATTCACTTACTGGAAAAAAGAAGTGAAGGGAATGACCATACTATGTTAGAAGGCCGGATTACAGTAAGGCTTCTATCTCATCAGTTCTACAGGCTTCACATCAGTTTTGCAAGAAACCAAACAAGAATACTTTTCCTGTTCGAAGCCTTAGCTATATATTTGTACATCGGTGTCATATCTTTGCACCTTGCTAAACCTGGCCTGAATGCAGGAGTTATAAATTCTTCAAAAAACCCAGATTTAACTCAGGATCAGAGTATGATCTTTTCTCATATTTCAGCATCATGGGCTCAAGAATATGCAATGACTCATCCTGCTATGAAGTAAATTCAGGAAAAAAAAAAAAAGGTATATCTGAATAAGTCAAAAACCAGCAAAGAACATTTAACCATGATGCTAAAAATAATGAAAAAAACACATGGAAGAAAACTTAATATGTAAATATGTATCTATGTAGTCTAGTAAAACACATATCTTTCTGGTAAAGACATCTCCTTTTTATTCTATTTACTTGGGGCCCAGGTCAGTATACAATGGTCAACCTGAAAATTTCAGTAGTATCTGTGTGCATGGCAGAAATTCTGCACATGTTTTATCTGATTCCTAAGAAAACTTAAAAGGCTCTTTTATGTTAAAAGAGAGGTGAATCTTTTTTGGCAGACTTTGTCTATTCCACTTCTAACTGGGCCTCTCTTTTCTCAGGATCTATCCTAGCCAAATATCTCAGTTACATTTACCATACAGTTTCCTGTGTGAAAGAGCAGTAGGGAAGGAACTCATTCTCTGCTGTTTACTGTATTTTTCAAATAAAATTTTAAAAATTAAATTAAAAATGAATTTTGAATTTTTTTTTTTTTGTCCCCATTTTTTTTTTTTTTTGTCCCCAAACATTGGTCTTTCTAGAGGGTGGGGGGATAAAGGATGTTTGTTAATGTGCCTGAAAGTGACAATTCTCAGAGTGACTGAAGTGCTGGAAATGAGTCATACTGGGTCAGACTAGACGAGCTGCTTTGAGCAGTCAGTGACCCTCGGCATCTCAAGGATCATCCTGAAATCTTACCAGCCTCCTTACTTGCAAATCACAATTCCATGGAAACTATTGGGATCACTGATCAGGTACACGATCCACTCTATAATCTGTCTCCTGTGTGTTAATAAAGTATGAAATAATGGATGTAAATTATCTTGCTCCTGCCTCTGAGGCACCATTTATTATATATATATATATATATATCAAATGGTTCTGATTGCAGTTTGCAAACAGAGATCTCACAATTTGCTAATTGTAACAAAGTTTGTGAATTATGATTCTTTTAAGATAGCAGTAAAGAAAATTTCTTCTAGATTTTATGTGAATGAATCCCTTCTAAGAAGAAAAATAAAAGTATTAAAATTCTGAGACCAGCAGGTTGCGTGGTGGTTTGAGGCACTGGACTCCCACTAGGCCAACCGCAGTACAAGTCCCGGACCTGGTTGCTTGAAACTCACGCCGGGTGTGTGTACATGTGTGCCCCAAATCTTAAAAGGACAGTGAAGGAGAAGGGATTGTGGTGTTGTGGCCATCTCCCGGGGGTGTGGGGTTATTTCTCATTTTCTGTTTCTTTGTCTCTCTCTGTCTCTCTGACAAGCACACGCACCCTGAAGTAAAATAAAATAAAATAGACTCTGAAAAATATTCAAAATTTTTCTTGTTCCTTTCATTTTAGATTATAGCTTGTCCTTAGGTTGATAGAACCTCAAGACATGGTCAAAGTTTAATTTTTAAAAATAAATAAAATAAATAAGTCTGTTTCTCCAACCCCAGGTCTTATGAGCCATAGACAGGCCAGAGGACCAAATTCCAAATTCACACCGCCATCTTTCAAATCCATAGCCTTGCTTGCAAGGAGCTATAAAAAACATATAGAAGAATGGACACATAGCCTTCTCCAGCTTTCAAATGAAACCTCCTTGTCTCAAGAATGTCAATCTTTTTTCTTTGCAGTTTCATTTTATTTTTCCACTTTAATAGACCAATGGTACTTGATTCCAAAAAAATTCAGACTTACACAAAGCATGTAAAGCATGTAGCAAAGATGTAGGTGCCACCATTCAAAATTAACAAATACCTGCAATATGTTTTATTTTTTCAGACTTAATTTTTTAAGAAATGAACAATGGAGACAATGTCCCTTTTGTGTCATCATGGTTTCATTCCCCTCGTTCCAACATCAAGACAGCCGCAATTGGGAAGATGGAAACCCAGCATGGGTGTCCTTCCCTTCTAAGTTTTTGTACCTTTACCACATATGCTTGCCTTCATGAAAAGATTTGTTTGTATTTTATTATATTATTAGTATTTATTTATTTATTTATGAGAAATTTTTTCTATATGGCATGTGCACTTGTCAGACAGAGAAAGACAGAGAGACAGAAACTGAGAAATCACCCCCCAGGGAGGATGGCCACGCCACAATCCCCTCTCCATTCTCCTCTCTGGATCTTGGGCATACACGCACACGTGCCCCATGTGAGTTTTAGGCCACGAGGTCTGGGACTCGAACCACGGTCGACTACATGGGAGTCCAGCGACACAGTCATTACACTAACTGCTGATCCTGGTATTTTATTATTTATAATTAATGTAATAACTGTACATATTTATGGGGTACAGTAGAGTGAGTTTATGTACATGAATACAGGGTATAATGATCAAATTAGGGTAATTAGTATATCCATCACCTCAAATATTCATTCTCACTGTGTATTGGGGCTATTAAACATCCTGTCTTCTAGTTATTTCAGAATGTAGAATAAATCATTGTAACTGTAGTCACCTCACTGTGTTACAACACAGCAGAACTTAATCCTTTTCTCAAACTCTTAATTTTGTACCCATTAGTCAGTGTCCTTTCTCACCCTTCTCCAGTCTTTACTATAGACACTTTCTACTCCTTATTTCCATGAGGCAAGCATTTTTGGCTTCTATGCCTAAAAATATGCAGTATTTCCAACATGTGCAGTATTTTAAAAAACGTCATTCTTTACCAAGGTCATATTGACATATGCCAACCTCTGGTTTGTTTCCTTTCATATTATTGCATTTATTTAATTTTTTAAAAAGATTTTTGCTATAGGATGCATGTGCTTACCAGCGAGACAGAGAAACAGAAAGTGAGAAATCACCCCCCAGGGAAGATGGCCATACCACAATCCCTTCTCCTCCATTCTCCTCTTGGGATTTTGGACATGCACACACATGCACCCAACATGATTTCGAAGCCACTGAGTCTGGGACTCGAACCATGGTCAGCCATGTGGGAATCCAGTGATATACCATTATGCCATTTTTCTGATTCCTATTATTGCATTTATTAAACGTGTTTCCATTTTCATTTTGCACAAAAGCACTATCACTTGTGGAAAGGGGCAATTTTTTTCTTTTCAGAAGAAAAACAGGTATATTATTATTTGAAGTTTTT